TTAAGAGCCATCTCCACAGCACTGCCACTCTGAAAACTCCCATAATTGTTTTAAAAATGTCAAGACAGGTTTGCCTGGCACATTGAAGTGGTTACCTGTGCCCAGGTTAGCTGTCCCTCGCTGAGCAGAGGGCAAAAGAAGACAGTGCTAAATCTGAATATTTTGCAAATATTCTGGCCTTGGGGCTGAGTGTGAAGGAAGCCTGTTGAGGGCGTTTTGGGGTTTTGTGACCACCCTTATTTGCTGCAGGTGGATGTCCTGAGAGCTCTGGGTGCTGAGATTGTGAGGACCCCAACTACAGCCAGATTTGATTCTCCTGAATCTCACGTGGGAGTGGCCTGGAGGTTGAAGAATGAAATCCCCAATGCACACATCCTGGACCAGGTGAGAGCCAAGGTGTCAGAGGTGCAGGTGTAGCATGGAGGACGCTCTGTGGTGTTCTAGGTTGTCTGTTCAACACTCTCCATGTGTCTCTGGAGGAGAATATCCCCCAAATCTGGAGCTGGAGCTGAGCAGTCACCACATTGTAGGAAAGGAAGTTTTTACAGTCACTAGAGAGCAGCAGTGAGCTGGTGTTTGCCAGAAATACAACACTTCTGGTGTCTATTTCCACTGAGTTGGCAATGCTGTGAGGAAGAATGGACACAGGGGTCGGGTTGCTAAGAGTGCTGTCCCACAGACAGGACTAATGTTGGCATGGGAGGGTGCTGGCACCTTAGGACTGCCCTTAAATTAGGTCACTTAGGAGGCCTAGTTCCAGATAATACTCAATGAAGCATTCTGCAGAGAGTTTGTTTAGATGTTGTGAGGCTTGGGGATTGTTTGAAATGTTTTTGAACTCCCTCAAAATGTGATTTTTGTGTTTCTGATCTATTTTGTGGCTGATCTGTCTTTCAATTCAGTACCGCAATGCCAGCAACCCCCTGACACACTATGACACCACAGCTGAGGAGATCCTGCAGCAGTGTGATGGTAGGTCTGCTCTTCTGCTAAACCCCTCCAGAGAGCCCCTGGTAGTGCCCTGATGTTATGCCCTGGGAGAACAAAACCTCAAATGAGAAAAGCATGGATTTTGATAAGGCAAACCCTATACATGTGCTGTATGTCATTAGAGAGTTACCTTATTTCAGAAGTCATACTAATGATTTTTTTCCATTAAAGAAGAATTCTTTGTTTTTTAGACTTCTCTGCCTGTGAGCAGGTGGAGAAAGCAATGATATTTAAGTTACCTTAAAAAAAACCCTTTTAGATAAACTGGTATGGAATAGGGTCATTCTTTGATCACAAATGCAGAAACAGGTGTTTAAACATTCCCAGAGCAAATACTCCAGTACACTGGGAGCATCCTCACTTAGGAGTCCTCAGGAGCATGCAGTGTTCTGTGTCACAGCTGTCACCAGCAGGACCCTCTGGCTCTGCAGGGCTTTCCTCAGCATGGGCAGCTGAGCACCAGCAGGGGCTGAGCTGTGGCAGCAGAGCCTCCCCTGGGCTCATTCCTCAGCTCAGGAGTTGGTTTGGGAGCTGTTGGAGACATTCATGCTGCAGCAGTTCCATAGGGGACAGAAGGGAGTCACACAGAAGGCTCCAGACCTGCCTTATTAAACACTGCAGTTTCTGATTGGCCTCTCTGATAAGAAAATCAGCAATTAAATTCATTTGCATTAAGGTGAAGATCACGTGAAATGTTCTCCTCCCTCCTAAAGCTCTAGCTGTTCAGAGGATTTGACTTTGTCTTTCTGTGGCAAACTTGGAGTTAAAGTGAGTACACTTTTACAAGCTGCCATGCCACAAACTGAGAGTCCAGATGAGTTTCAGACTTAGGCTTCTTCTTGTTTCTATTTACTTCCCCTTACAGCTCAGGCACTGTTCAGTTACCCCTGCTTGGTGGGGTGTTGTTCCTTTGGCTGGTAAGCAATTGATTTTGTGTGTGAATTGGTGACCCTTTAAAAATCCTTTTTTTTTAAATTAACAAAGCTGTCGTGTGGATACACCAGAGAAGCTGTAGGTGGTGACACAAGGATGAACTATCATATCCACATTCAGTCTGAGTGCTAGTGACCAAAACAGTCTTTTTCACATGAAAATGAGGGAGTAGTGTTAACATTTCTCTCCAGGGATGCCTATCCCATGCTCTTGGCACTCACTCTGTTAATTAGCAAACATAATGGGCTGCTCAGTTTAACTTAGAGAATGAATTATCTGTATCAGCAAATACAGTAACAGGAAAACTGCAGCTGTCAGCTCTGTGGGCCACTTCCAGCTGTGTCCAAAGTGCCACAGATTGGTGCCTTGCCAGGCCTCTGGATGGACATTTCAAAGCCCTCGTTGGAGAAAATGATGATTGAGCAATGCAGTTTCAAGGCAAGTCTCACAACAGCTCCTGGGAAGCAGAGAGCCCTATCCTGCCCTTTTCAGCCACTTTGTGCATTTTTGTTGAAGAAAGTCCATCCTTAGGTGTTAAGTGAGCTTTCAATCCTTCATTCTGCTGGAGATTTCACACTTCTTTCCCACACCCTTGAACAGGAAAGCTGGACATGGTGGTGGTCACGGCTGGCACAGGGGGTACCATCACTGGCATCTCCAGGAAGCTGAAGGAGAAGTGCCCAGGGTGCAAAGTAAGTGAGAAGCCCACTGCTTTTCTGTTTGGTGTCTCCTCAGACTGCTCCCCTTGGCTCATCCCACTCCTTGCCAGCCTGCCCTGGGTCTCTGTGGGAAGCTCTGGGGTGTTCTCAGTTAAAAGGTAGTTCTGGCTGCAGAGAGGGTTTCAGAATGTCTAAAATCATTGGCTCTGGTCCCGCTGGTGAGCAGAGTTCAGGTTTGGCTCAGCAGATGAACACAGGCTCTCAGATCTCTCCATGGGGTGCCTGGGAAATTTCCTTCCCTGGTGTGTGCTCTGCAGCCTTGAGTTTCCTCCCTGGCTGTGCCTTCCCAGCCGCTCTGGAGCTGCTGAGGTTTTGTGGAATTGTCTCTGCACACACACCAACCTGTGTGATGTGTTAGATTTCCTCACAGAACTTGGGATCCTGCTTCAGTCATGAGAATTTTCCTACACAGGCAGGGAGTGGTAAAGAAAATGAAACTGATCTGCATGCACGTTGCACAAAATGAGTTGTCTGTAATGATGCCTGGCATGTGAACGAGGACAACTTTGTCTCAGGGAAACCTTGTTTTCTGTTTCAACCAAGCAAAACCCATGTAGAGCAAGTGGTGCCATCAGTGTCCACAGCCTGAGGAGGTGGGATGGGTTTCCAAGGGGGCCAGAAGCAGCCAAGCGTTTTGCTCCCAGGGAAGGTGAATGTTGCCAGGAGGAAATGAGCAGGAGAGCAAGTTGTTGTCACTTGGCTGTGTGCCACCAGCAGCTGTGACAAGGCCAGTGCTCACAGGGGCTGTGTGTCTTGGTGGCCTGAGTGGAAACTGCTTCTCCAGATCATAGGTGTGGATCCTGAAGGCTCCATCCTTGCTGAACCAGAAGAGCTGAACAAGACTGACAAGACAACGTATGAAGTGGAAGGAATTGGATATGATTTTGTTCCCACAGTGCTCGATAGATCTGTAAGTCACACTGCTTTGTTTACTGCCCTTTGCCCTCTGCTGGGATGCAGGAGTGTGGTTAAAGGCAGAGGAACACTTGGGGAAGTATTTCTTTGAGCTGAAATGGAAGGGCTAGCAGACAGAGCTATTCCTGTTCTTTCCATCTGCATGAACAGTCCTTGACAGGCTTCTGAACTGGCCACATTAGTTATACAGTGCCAGGTCAAAACACTGCAAATAGATAACATTTTCCTACAACACACACTTATTTTTGTGCTTAAAAAACCCCAGAACACACCTGAAAAAACCAGTCATGAAACACACAATAAAAATAAGACAGACATACAACAAAGAACACCAAGTTACCAGTCACAAAAACCCCACAAAACAACAAAACCAAACCTTCCAGCAGAGCATCCCAGTCCCTGCTGGACAAAGTAGCTAAGACTGTCCTGAGCTGAGCCTGTGTCTCTGGGAAGCCTTCCAAGAGGGGAGGAAGCTGATGCTGTCTCAGGCTGGCTCACAGCAGCCTGCTCTCACAGAAGGGTTCCAGTAAGGAGCCTGTTGTGCTGATGTGATCATCTTACCTTGGCAAAAATCCCCACTTGGCATTCGGAGGAGGACGGAAACCCTGGGTTCAGTAGGGCAGCTGTTGCCTCAAAGAGCTGAGGCTGAATTCACACTGGTTGTGTAGTTCCCCTGTGCCTCCTCACTTAAACAGAGCCTTGTTTCTGTCTCCTGCCCCTCCCCAGACAGTGGACCAGTGGTACAAGAGCAATGATGAGGAGTCCTTTGCCATGGCACGGATGATGATCCGCGAGGAGGGGCTGCTGTGTGGTAAGAGCAGGCAGGAACCCTCTGCCTTTCTCTGCTCTGTGGGAGGCTGGAGCCTTGTGCAGATCAGAGACCTCCTTCTGTAGAAATTATATTGAGATGGACACAACTGGCATCAATACCACTTCTTTATTAAAAACTTTACATGCCTTCTTTCAGGTAACTGACTCCTGTCTTCATAGACAGCTCTACACAGCACTGACTCCTTCTCTCCTCTCTGCAAGTTTCCTTCTTCCTTCTGCATGACTGGCTAAACCCCAAGCTGTCCCTTACCCTGCCCTCCTAACCCTGTCTGTCCCTCACACAGCATCTTCTTACCTTGTCTGTCCCTTGCATGACCACATGTTCCTTACCTCCTCACAGCCACCAAATTCTATCCTGAACTGCAGCAATGTCCATCTACAATTAGTGGCCAGCTAGCCCACTCTTCTATAACACCCATCCTCACTGGGCAGGCAAGGCTGTTTCTGCTCCTTGTTAATCAGTACAGTAATTCATTGGGAAAGATCGCCTTCTGCACTATCCTTACAAACTATTCTCCTGCACTTACACTTACAAACTCCTCTGTTCTTTCTCCTCCCCTCTCCCGATGTCCCTCATGGTGGTGTGACTGTTCTGTGTGTTCTGGCAGGTGGCAGCTCGGGCAGTGCCATGTCTGTGGCTGTGAAGGCAGCCAAGGAGCTGAAGGAGGGTCAGCGCTGTGTTGTCATCTGCCCTGACTCCATCAGGAATTACATGTAAGGACCTGCTGGTTTTCTCTCTGGGAGAGGGCTGAGGGAGTCCCTCAGACCTTCTAACACCCACTTACCCCAGCAAGGAATGTCTCTGGGGCACAGGTTCTGAGCTGTCTAAAAGGGGTCTGACATGGAACAGGGAGGATCTTTTCCCTTTTAAGGCTGAGCTCTGATTTCAGTAGATAATCACCACTGGTTAGCATTTCTCACAACAGAGGCCTTGCATTCACTGTATTATTTGTGGGGGATCACTGGTTATCCCATTCCTGGAAGGATTCCTGTGCTCACAGCAGGATCCAGCAGTCCTGCAGCAGTAGCAGCCACACTCAGGTGAGTTTGCAGGTGGAAGTGTCAGGGCTTTGAGCTGTGCTGAGAAGTTTTTCTCCAATCACATTGAAACATACCCCAAAACATGGTACTTTTAGCTGAGTTTCCTGACTTCCCCTGCATCCAGCTCAATATTAGACAAGCAGAAGCTGCAGACAAGACACATCTCCATTCCAGGCTATGTCTCTATGATATTGCAAGGGAATGATGCAGTTGGAGTTTTCTGTGAAATTCCTTTTTCTTCCATGAGTATTTCTTCTCCATATCCCTGGCTGCTAAGCTTGTATGGCAAATGATGGTCTCTTTCCAATTACACTTTAGCTGTTGGTGGCAGTGAGCTGTGAACAGTTTTGTTCAAAGCCTCTGTTTGCTGTCAGATCTTCAACCCCTGCTAATGAGCTTTTCACTCCTGCAGGTCCAAGTTCTTGAGTGACAAATGGATGATTCAGAAAGGGTTCATGAAAGAAGAAGACCTTGGCAACAAACCTTGGTAAGCCTGTCAAATCCATTTGATTTCCATCAGTCTATTCAATCAAGTTTATGGCAGTTGCTAATTTAAAGCTCATTTCAATTTGCACTTCTCCTTTGATTTAGCTGATCTTCCATGCTATTGTCTTGATGTATAATTGCAGATATTAATCAAATCTGCTTTAATTAGTTGACATCCTTCCTTGAGTTGTATGGCATAAGAACATTTGGTGCTTAATGATTGGGGTTTTTTTAATGAAAAGTGTTATATCTGGAATTTTTTAAAAAAGGAAATATGCAGAGAATCCTTCCAAAATCAGAGTTTTTGAGTGCAAAGCACTCCAAGTCTACATAGGTGGAAGGGAATCTTCCCTAAAGTGTTGCCCATAATGACTGCAAATACAGAGAGGTCTTTGAGTAGAAGCACAAAATTTTTTGTGTGAGAGATAAATGAAATTGGGGAGATTAGTGCTCTCCACTGACTATCTGTAATCATAGAAAGCAGATGAAATGAAGAAAAGGGTTTTGATTTTCAAGCCTTCTCACACTTAGGTGACTTCCTGATATTGGGAATAACACCTGAGAGCCCTGAGGCTTTATTGACTCTCAGGCTGAATCCTGACTCTTCCTTGCAGCCTTTTGTCATTCCCGTGGTGCTGGAGGCCCCTGTGCATGAGGGACTGGTTCTGTCTTCTCCATAAGACTTGCATGGGTTTGTTTTTTGTTCCATCTCCAGGTGGTGGAACATCAGTATTCAGGAATTGAGCCTCTCTGCACCCCTGACTGTGCTTCCAACTGTTACCTGTGCCAAGACTGTGGAAATTCTCCGGGAGAAGGGATTCGACCAGGTACCAGTTGTTGATGAATCTGGGTATGTCCACATATATCACTCTTTATCCATATGTATCACTTCCCTACCCAGCTCCTCAGGGATGCCTTTCAAGTGCTTGCTGGAAATACAATATCTTCTCACTCATCCTTTTTCATTTATTAATGCAGTTCAGAAATGCTACCTTGAACACACCAATGCTGGGGTTTGTGTTTTCATGCCAGGATTGTCCCACCCTTCTCATGATTCTAATGATTATTATGATATACTTACTCATTTTGTCTCTGCAGGATAATTTAATTTCTTTTAATAATACCAGTTTAACCTTAAAAATGCAAAAATTCCTATTTAGAACGACCAACACAAACGTTCCCACCTCTATCAGAATTTTGAGAGTTTCTTCAGCACACTGTGCTGTAGTGCAGGGCTCCAGTGACCCCTATAAACCAGGGTGTCCCCAGCAAGCTGGAATGTGCCTTATCACCCTGCAGGTCTCCTGCAGACAGGCTGAGTGTTGGAGAGTTGCTCAGTTGGGCTGACCTGAAGGATGAATTGTTGTAGACCCTCCCAGGGAGAAGGGAAATGAGCCAAACTGGGGTGAGCTTGTCTCTGGATGTCACACCTTTCAAAAGATGAGTGTGGAAAAGTGAAGTAGTTTTTGCTTTCCAAAAGCTCTCTGGGATTGCAGGTGTCTCCCTGCAGTTGCAAGGAGCAGAGATGAAAAGGTGCTGGTGCTCAGAAGGACCTGCAGCACCTGCTGCCTTGTGTGAGTCCTCAGAACCTCTGAGAACTGTGCTCTGTCCCCTGCAGACACACAGAATCCAAATATGCCATTGATAATGCTGCAGTATCACCATGAAGCAGCTGAACTGACTCCTCCAGGCTGGCTGAGAGTGGATGCTTTTTTCTACAGGAACACCTGAGGCTTTTGTGTTGTTCATCCCTGTCTTGTCTCTCCTTCCCCAGGGTGATTCTGGGCATGGTTACCCTGGGTAACATGCTATCCTCACTGCTTGTTGGAAAAGTTAAGCCTTCTGATGAAGTCAGAAAAGTAATCTACAAGCAATTTCAGCAGGTAGGGAGGTATATTCTGCAGCTCCTGCTTCTCTGGTTGCAAGTATTACAGAAGGTGTGCTAACACTGGGTGATGTTTACCTGAGACCATGCCACCAGCTGTTATTGAGCACAGAATTTTCTTTTAAAAAGGTGGAATGCTTGACTTTAGCTTTCATCAGGATTTAAGTTCCAACACTGCCCCAAAGTGGATTGAGTGCTGTGTTCTGAATGTGTGTTTAATGCTTTTGTTCATCCTGTGAGCCACCCAAGGGTGCTGGTTCTTCATGGACAAATGTAAACTTATTTTTTCCTCCCCAGACAGATAACCCAGCATCATGGGGAAATGTGGTGCGTAACACAACTGCTTGGTTCATGTTCTCCCTCACCTGGACACCTTGAGAGTTTCTGGGACTGGTGGTGTGTGATGGTTTCTGTGGCTGCTCTGGTGTTGGCTGCATCAGCCAAGTCTCTGCACTTCTGAGGTTGTGGCTCTTGCCATGGGCAGCTTGAAGGCTTCTTTAGTAAAGAGCAGCTTAACCATTTCTTTTCCCTTTATTTCTGATATTTTCTTGGTGGAGGCTGGGAGTGACACAAGCTGTGGTACTGCTACATGTTAACTAAAAATGGTTATTTTCCATTTGAATTGATGGGTTAATGGTGAAACGTGGTGGAATGCACATAACCTCAGAAGTGTTGTGGGTCTTGCTTCTCTTACGACTTAAGTCAAGCTGATGTGGCTTGTTTATAAGTGAAATTGGGAAAATGAATCATCTGTGTCACCAAAATCACTTCTGATATCCTACATGGCATACCACAGCATGCATCAAATAAGAGGCTTAGCCTGTAAATCAGGGCAAAGGTACATTTTGGAAAGATGAGTCTCTTGGCTTTTTTAGGTTGCTCAGAGAAGTTGTGGATTTCCCATCCATGGAAGTGTCCAAGACCAGGCTGGATGGGGCTCCAAGCAGCCTGGGGTAGTGGAAGGTGTCTCTGCCCATGGCAGGGGGTTGGAACTGGATGATCCTTAAGGTCCCTTCCACCCCAAACCATTCTGTGATTTTATAACTGGGACAAGGAAGCAGAATGGTTAGAGCTTTTCTGAAATCCCTGGTACAATTGTGCTCTGGGGATTTGAAACACCAGTCACAGGATAATTTGCCAACCCAAACAAGTGTTAGTGGAGGGAGGAGCCATCCTTGTGGAGTCAGATGTTAGTTCCAGTGGTTTGGGTTCCCAGTCGTGTAGTGTAGTACTCACTGCCTGGAGACCTAGTAAACTTAAAAACAAAGCCTAAATGTGGGAAAACCCGTGGGCAAAATGTTTAAGAAGCTTGAATGAAGAGGTGAAAACTCCGTGGGGATTCTGTTAAATTTCCACTGAGCATCTCTAGGCACGTTCATTCCTTGGTGGTTGTCCCAGTGCTGCCAAGGGGCTGCTTGTCCTGGTTATCTGTAGCCTGCCCAGTCCCTGAAGACAGATTTGGGCCTGATGGGTGACTCCATGTGGCAGCAGATCCAGATTTCCAAACTCCTTCCTTTCCTGACCCCCAAGTGTAAGGATTGGTTCCTCAGTCTGGTCCTTTAAACACAGACTGCTGGGATCCTCTGACTCCCAGTATGAGCTCCATGTTCCAGCTGTTCGTGGGTGGCACTTATTTCTCACAGAGAGGCTTTTTGAAGCTGCAGTGCAAGACTCTGCTTGGCTGTGAATTCCTTTAATAAAAGTGTGTCAGATGGTGGGTGCTGGGGAGAGTCACCTGGTTAATGGAGCTGTGACTGCTGCTTCATCTCTTAACTCATGTTTGAACAGATTTAGGCATTTTTTAAAAGGATTGCAGCAGGTGATTGCTGAAGTATTTTGGAAATACCTATATTTTTTCAGGGTTGACACAGGGTGCTTTCTTGTTCAGTCTTAGCAAAGTTGAACTTCACAAAAAAGAATTATTAAATCTCAGTTCCTTGATTTGCACCCAAATCCTGTATTAGCTGAGCAATCTTTCACCCTTGGTTTTGTTTTTGGCTTGTTTGGGCTTTTCTGCCTTTGCAAATCATATTCACTTCCACAATGGTTTGCAGCTAGATTCTTTCAGTCTTTTAGAATAAAATCACTAAATACAAAGACTTTTATGGTAACTTCTTTTGTTGAGACACTTGGAACACTTCACCTTCTTTGATTATTAGCATTTTTCAGATCTTCATTATATTCATTATCTTTACAGAATGATGTAGTGGCTCATTTTTTTGGAAATCAGAAACAAAGAAAACTGATATTTAAGTTGACCTTGAGTTGTTGTTTTCTAGTGCTTCAGGTGGGAGCACTGCACCACTGCTGATGTATTGATTTAGTTCTGTATGAAGTGTACAGAGATTATTGACTACTAAACATAGAAAGGATTGTTTTATTCAAGTTTTGTAAACTCTCTCCTCAGATTAACCTGAAAGACAACTTGGGGAAGCTCTCTCACATCCTGGAAATAGACCACTTTGCTCTGGTGGTTCATGAACAAATTCAATGTGAGTACCAAGTCCTGCGCCTTGTGAGAGCAAACCTTTGAGTGGTAACAAGAAGCGAGTGTGAATGTGTGAAGTGAGCTCTGAAGAAGCAAAATCCTCATTCTGTGTCTAACTTTATTCTACTAACCCTAATTTCCATCCCTGAAAGGCTGGACAAGGCTTGGAGGCAACCTGTTCTAGTGGAAGGTGTCCCTGCCTGTGGCAGCAGTGGAACAAGATGATTTTAAGGTCCCTTCCAACCCAAACCATTCTAGGATTAGTAAGACTAAATAAATCTTCAAATCTGGAGTATATCACTCGTATATGTTAATAGTACTTTGTCCTGTATAATCTTCCTAATAGCAGACAACTTTGCAAAGTTACAAACACGGAGAAATGAGAGTCAAAACAATATTAAGCCGTGCCAGATAAATTTATCTTTAGCTTCTCAGTTGTAACTGGAAGAGGAGCCATCAAATTTATTAAATTTGGGGCTGTTCTTGATGATCTCCATAAGGATGTGCTCTTGGCTCTGAGCTGACTATTTATAAATCTTGAATCTCACTGAAAGCTTGCAGTGAAACAGATTGAGTAAACAAAAAGCCCAGGACAGTCCAGCTGACTGAAAAAACTGAGTATAGAAGTAGATCTAATATCTTAGTACAGGCAGAGTCTTTAGGAATTTGGACAATTGATGAAGGGCCAGAGGTCATGTGGCCACTTGGTTCCCAGTCAAGGCTTAGGCTCACTATGAGAAAATCACTTGAACCTCAGTGTGTTCTCCATGCAGCAAAGATTAAATGGTTAGTATGTTTTTTGGATAAAAATGGGGTATTGTTGTTTTTATACAGATTTTGTATTTGATGGGGATGCAGGAAGGTGGTTGTGTCACATTTCCTCCTCAAAATGTGGTTCCATTGGGCCATTCCAGTGGCCCCTGGTTCCATGAGGAAATGCCTCTTGCAGCTCTTTCAAGTAACTAATGCTTGAGGGAAATACACTTTATAACAAGAGGGCCGGGTTTGACTTCTTGTGTCAAGAAAAATAAATCCAGTGCATCCTTATCCTTCCTTCCATAAAGTTTCAATGTCCCTTTTGATGAGGAGCTTTTCTGAGCTGAAAATCCCTGTCCCTTGCTCTGTGACTCTTGGCCAAGGTGCCTTTTGTGTTCCCCCTCTGTGTGCCAGGATCACCAAACAGCTCCAGGAGCTGGCGTGGCTCAGCCCACGATTTTTACAAACACTGCCACTAAAACCAGGCAGGAGAGGGTGTGTTTGTGCCTCCTGGAGTCAGAACTGTCTCTTTTTTCTGTGCAGACCACACGGATGGCTCCTCCAGCAAGAGGCAGATGGTGTTTGGCATTGTCACAGCCATCGACCTCCTGAACTTCGTGACTGCACGGGAGCGGGAGAGGAAATCCAACTAAAGCCAAGCAGCAACCTGGAGCCTCTTCAGCATTTTCCAGTCTCAAACAAAGAATCAGGTCTATGTCTTAAGTAGAAGATTTTTTTTTTTTTTTTTTTTTTTTTTTTTTGTTGGGTTATTCTTGGTTTTTTTTTAAATTCTGGAAATAAGCAGTTAGCTATCCTGGTGTCAGCTATCCAGCCAATGTGTCTTGCTGTATTGCCCAGCTTCTGGGACTTGTTTCTTAATCAGGTTAAGCAGTATTTCTTATCAAGACAATTTATTTTTTTACCTATATATATATATATGTATGTGTAAAAAATATTGCCTAAATTAACTGGTTTGTTCCTTACTTGTTATGTATAAAGTTTGGCTTTCCAAAATATTTCACAAACACTAAAGGTATCAAAATAAAGAGTTACTGAAGCAGAGGCCCAAGAGAGCTCTGGAAAGTTCAGCATTTTTTTTCTCCCCCCCCATTCAAGGGTGTTAAGTTAGATATTTCCTGTGTGGAGACAAAATTGGGACTGGGGCATGGGCAGAGGAAAGGAAGGTTTCCCTTTTGGTGGCACAATTGTAAAAGAAGAGAAAATCCTCAGGGCTGAAGCTGAGACTTGCTCCAACCATCTGCTCTGAAAGAAGCTGGTTTGAGCAGAAGCATGGCAGTGAAGTGACAAACATAAACCAGTAGCACTGTTTTACACAGTGCACCAGCTTTCCCTGCCATGACAGACCTATTTTTTTCCCAATAGTATCCTGATAAGGAAGCACAAGTGGAAAGATTTAAAAGGTAAGATCAAGCGTCTTACCAAAGGTTTTTTTAAAATCATTCTGTTTTATCTATTACCTTCCTTTTCCCTCCCCACCCTCGTATTTATATCAGAGTGCCTTTTTTGTGCCTGTTTCAGAAGAGCCAAGGATAATCTCTCAAGAGCTGTGAGCTATTCCAAGTCTTGTTTGGGTACTCCTACCCTGTAGTGCCTTATTCCAGGAGAAAACCTGCCTTGGTTCCCCCTTTCGGATTAAGGCTATTGCTGAAGGAAAGTGACCCATCCTTACCTTAAACTGTGGTTTGCCGTTATATTCATACACTTCTTTAAGATTTTAAAGTCTATCTTTAAGATTTTAACTTTTCCCGAGGCTCTGGAAGAAAACTACTATAAATTTAAAAATGCACAACTTCAATAGTAACTGAAAGGTTCTAAAGGGTGATTAATTTCTTTCTGCCATTGTAGATGTCACTGCTGCTAGATTTTGGCATTACTTTGAATATTTACTTTACTGGCTTTTATCTGATCTTTTTTTTGCCATTTTCCATCTGACCTTTGCTGACAGCAGCAGGGAGGGAGGTGCTTGAGTAGCTGAGGTTTGTCCTTTTCCCTTGTAAAAACTCCATGTCCTGACCTAACTGAATTCAGCAAAAAATATGAAAATGTTAGAAGGAGGTTCCCAAAGCTGCTTTTCAGAGCAGCACAAGAGAGGAGTTAAAGGTGGGGCAGCAAATTAGTCAGTTATAAAGAAATGTAAAGATTTGAATCTGTTTTTTTAGTTCACTGTTCATACATTAATCCCTGTAGTGCCATGAAAACTGACAGTATTGTAGACTGAGACATAAGGGGTGGCTAGAAATGGTGGGGAACACAGGATGGGAATCTAAAGCATTCCAAGGAAGCCAAAGGATCCAAAGAAATTCACCTGCTCCCCTGGGATTTGCTATAACAGGAGCTGTCTCCTGTTCTGCACTGGCACAGGGAGGAATGGCGAGACCAGAGGAATTGGGCAAATAAATGGAGTTGCTGCACAGCTGAAAAACTTTCCAGAGCTCTTTCCCATGGGAGGGATGAAGGCAGCAAAGAGAAGGGGACAGGGAATCCAGCAGGGCTGAATTTTCCTCTGCAAAAGCTTGTGATGCTTTTTTGCATGACTGAGAACCTCATTGCTGGCCTGCTCCTGGTTAGCTGTGGTGGGGCTGATTAAAACTGGGCTTATTTGTGTTTCAAATGCTCTGAAGACCAAGAAAGACACTGCAGTTTGTTCAGTCTTTTACCTGAAGGACAGAGCCTGAACAGAAGTGTATTTTTTTTTTTCTGAAGTGAGTGCCTGCATCTTCTGTTTACCTTTGCTGCTTATGCAAGCGCTGACTAAACCTGAAAACTTTTGCACATGGATATTTTTATCAACAATTTATGCTGTATTTGTTCGTCACTGTAAGAGATTATCAGTCCTAATGTTGGCTCTGCAAAAATACTATTTAATTTCTCACCTGAAGACAGCTGTTCAGCAAAATCTGTACAATATTTTATACCAGCTACCAGGCAATGCCTTAAGGTTCATTTTCATGTTGTCATGTCCAGTGTTATTTCCCATTTCTTGTACAAGCCGTGGCTGACTGCAGAACTCTGGCTGGCAGGGGTTGCTCTAAGCAGCCAGACCAGTCTCATCTGTCCACCAAGCTCATTTCTGAAAACTTCTGCTTGCTGCTATAAATCTCATACAAGGCTCACTGTCAGAAGTTTCCTGACACTGCCCCTGTCATCCAAAAGCTTTTCTTACTGTGTCGTGTCAACTAAGGGAAAGGGAAGACTTGTTATGCTTCAAGGAGCTGGGAAAAAACACTATGAGCTGTATTTATTGCACAGATGTCCACAAATGTACCATACAAAGAGTTCAATAAAAGCTGTTTGGTTGCAGAATGCCTCTGGGTTGTGTTTTTTTTAATGCCACTTCGAGCTTGTAAGTGTGTTAGACTGTAAGAAATTGGTGCAGAAGCCCCCTGGGTGTCAGTGTGAGCCCTCTCTGCAGTTCTGTCCATGTCTCCAGAGCAAGGCCAGTCCTGCCAGCACGACCTCCTTGCTCTTGCTGGGTGTTCAGGTATCTCCCCACGCTCAGTGCTCTGTCCTCAGCTCCATCTTCTCATCCCTGCTCAGCAGCATGGGCTGCCTTCATCTTGCACATCGTCCTCATCGTCCTGCCCGTGCTGGCAGCTGATCCCCACCTCCCCTTTCCCTTTTGGCAGCCCCTCAGAGGGGCAGGAAGGGACCCTGAGGGCAGAAGGCCAGCATCACTCCTGTGCACGGAGAGACCATTTCAGCAAAAGGCCAAAGGCTGCCCAGGCACAGAGAGCTGCAGGAAGCAGGAGGGATCAAGTTCCACCTTCCAGCAGGCTGAGCAGGGAGCTGGACAGGTTCAGAAATACCCTGGAGAGGTACACCAGGCTCTGAAGCAGGGCCCTGCTTGCAGCTGCTGAGAGGTCAGGGCTCCTCAGCACCTTGTCAGCAGCAGCCCCCAGGCTGGAGATGAGAGCAGGGCACTGCCCATACCCCGTTTTTTTGCCCCAAGACCTCCTGACAGCTGAGTCACAGCCTAATGACAGCCCTGGGACCGAGCTGTCCCCAGCTGAGGAGCTGCCCCTCCTCATGGGTCACCAGCAGGAAAATTACTGGGTACAATCAGCTGTACTGGCTCTGCAGATAAAGGGAGGACTTCAGTCCAGAGAGCTGCCTTATGAAAGCAATAAATTCCCTTTGGGGAAGGAAAAAAAAAAAAAAAAAGCACAACCACCAACCCACACTCGTGTTGCTGATGGAAGTGCTGCTACCTTTTGTCACGTGCTGGAGCATGGTGGGTGAGGGCAGAGCCCACAGGACATGACTCGTGGAGGGGACTAAGAGCAGCCAACTCACCTGCCACCACCCTGTCCTATGGAAAAATCCACTTCTAGTTAGAGGAAAAGCCAAGTGCTGTTTGCCCTGCAGGTCTCAATGCTTTTTCAGGAGTTAAAACCTGCCACAGCTTCTCTCACACCTGCCAAATCCCAGGTTTGGGGAGGTCACTGCCTCCTCCAGTGGCAGCCAGCTGGGTTTGTGTACCCAAACAAACAGGGCAAGGGGGCTGTGGGCAGCACCTGGCCCTGTATTGCCTGCCACAGACACTGCATGGCCCTGGGTGTTGGACCCCTGAAGCCTGGGAGTTTTGAGTTTTCTGTGCTGTCAGGCACTGATCCCCTGGAGAACACTGCTTTTGACCTCAGCCCTTGGAGAAGGCTCCAAATTTGAGTGATGGAGTGAAAATCACGGGTGTGTAGTTAAATATAAGTGTGTGATTTCACATGGTGAAGGGTTTGGAATTTGGGGTTTTTAGAATATAGTAATAGGTATGGGACAAGATGGAGGTTCTTGGGAGTTGTCTCTTTCTGTCTTCTTCTTCATACAGCTTCTTCAAGGCTGTATTCACTCCTTCACCTGGGGAAGCTGGGGAGCTGCAATGCCCTGATTCACAGTAAGACCCCTCTGCAGGCAGCAGGACACAGGAATGAACTGATCTGCCCCATGGGACAAGCAGGGCACCCAGGTCCTCCCTCCTGACCTGGGAAGGGTGGGAAACAGGGTGTGTTTGGAGCTGCTCGTGCCTTGTGTTCCTTCCAGGAAAAGCCAGCAGGTCTGCTCTTCCCTGGGTGTCCCTGCAGCATCACTCTCCCCACAGCCTCCAGCAGCAGATGCAGCATTAAAGGAAGATCCTCAGGTCTGCTGAATATTCTGTGGGTTGTACTGATGCCTTTTGGGGCTACCTGGAAACAGAGACCAGACAAAATAAAGGAAATAAAAAGCAGTTCTATTTATTGAAGTGCCTTCAGGTACATTTCAGGCAGACAAAGCCCCCCCCAGGGGCTGCACCCAAAATGGACAAAGAGTCATGGATTTTCACACTATTAAAAGTTTGGTCCATTTGCACATTGGGGGTTAATCTTCCAATTGCAGCTTCAGGTAATTAATTAAGTCATTTGCCCCAAGTTTGCTCCCCCCTAATTCACTTTTGTTTAGATTTCTTGGGGCTCAAGACAGTGAGGTGTCCTTGATTGCCAGCCTGGAGAGGAATTGTGTTGTCTGACCAAAATGGGAAAGCAGCAGCCAACATTGTATGGAGTTTAGAGTTACACACTAAAGAATTGCAGGATTACAAATATATGAGAAACATAAAAGCTAAAACCCTAAGGCATCAGTACAAGCAAATGGTGACCTCTCCTGAAATAGGTGTGTGTGAACAGCTGCTCCAACACAGTGACAAAAATGTGACTTTTCTAACCTATTCCTGCCTTGGCCTGTGGCAGCTGGAATCCTGTTTCAGCTGGCATCATTTTGCACTGCACTAAGACTTCTACACCAAGTGCATTGAATAGGTAAAACAAATACTTTAAACAGCAAATGACAGCCTCCCTTCCTCCCAGTTTACCCACATTATTCAGACAGCAGTACCATCACCAGTACTCCAACTCACAGGCCAATTCAGCTCAGGCAGAAGCAGTTTTATCTTGTGCCCTCACAGCAAGATGTATTTTCTCTGCTGGCCGAAAATAAGGCAAGAACCAAGGAAAGCCTGTTCTGCCCTGAATTATTTCCTAGGCCCTCCCAAAACATTGCTAACCTTTCTCCTGACATCTTCTCAAGCCCTGATGTGGAGCTTCAACTGCTTTGATAAAACCATTTTGAATATAAATTACATGGGAGGGGAAACGTGGATTTCTTCCCACTTGGTACAGCACAATCAGTAACATTTTAAAACCAGGTTGTTTCTTCTAGGAAAAAAAAAATCACTGGTGGGGGGGTGGCTGTGGTCATGAGAGGTCTTTCCTCCCAAGTGCCCAAAAGTAAAACCTGAGTGCTGCATCCCCACAGGGGTCACAGAATTGCAGGATGGTTTGGGTTGGAAGGGACCTTAAAGCTCATCTTATTCCATCTCTGTCATGGGCAGGGACACTTCCACTATTCCCAGGTTGCTCCAAGCCCTGTTCAACCTGGCCTTGGACTCTTCCAGGAATCCAGGGACATCCACAGCTTCTCTGGGCTGTCCCCACCCTCCCAGGGAAGATGAGGTGAGAACTATAAAACTCCCTCTGCAAGGAGGAAGTTTGATGGTGTTTTAAAAGCAGAGTCCCTCTTCCTAGGCGTGGATTTTTGTGTCACACCTTCTCGTGAGAGCTCAGAGCCATCACAGTGCTCTCAGCTGCCTCCCCCGTTTTTTTGGCTGGCTGATTGTTGCTTCCCAGCCTGAGGATGCTGATGTTTAGCCAGTGGAATCCTGCAGGTGAAATGTTGCAAGGCAACCGTTCAGGTAGAGGGTGGGGAATGAGCACCTGTGCCTCGTGCTGTCTCACCAGCACTTGCAGGACAGCGAGGTAAAATTAGATTTTATGATGTGTACAGGCTGTGAAATATCTGGCATTGCTGTGTGGGTGGAAGCGTGGCAAAGATTCCAGTGCAGACCCCAGCCCAGCTCCTCCTCTGCTCTTAACCCAGGCACAGGCAAAGCAAGAAAATCCCCATCAAAAATACCTGCTGACCTAAAAAAAAACAATTTAGTGTGTGACAGTAGGGCTGGTGATGCTGAAGAGCCCGAGTGCACAGCAGCTCTGGGGATAGTGATGATGGGAAAATATTGTGGTTTAAACCCAGCCAGCAACTAAGCCTGAGCATTCTGGTCAGATGCAGTGAATAGCTTTAAAGGGGACTTTTTTCCTTTCAAAGTCCCCAAATTTGCCATTTGGACTATTTTTTTTTTTTTTAAATAAAGTATTTAATTAAAAAATTATTTCTCTAAAGGAAGAGTTTTATTTCAAAATTGTCCTCTGTCCCTCCAATTACCCATCTAAATCTTGTTTTCTTTCAGGTTGCAAAGATCCCCATTTCTTGAAGAAATGTTTGCAGAAAGTTTGGTCACTGAAGAGAAGAATCTTATTTTTGAGCACACACTGCTGCAGGAGACAACCAGGAAAGGGTGGCTGGGTTATTCTGTAACTGCAATGCCCAGAAAACAGAATTCTTGCTGGGGTTGGGGTTATTTGCAGCCTCTTCACAGGAGAGCTGTATGTTCTCTGTGACATCAGATAGCCCACAAGAGTTTTCTGTGATGGATTAGCTCTGGCAATGTTTTCCAGAGAGTCCATTTATTGCAAAAAGACCAAAGGTAAAGTCATCCCTGTGCTAATACCTACACCAGTCTCGTCTTCAAAAGTTTAATTCCAAAATAAGCGTTCTGACAAGCCTTACTCTTGCCAGTTTCCTTCACCACTGTGTTTTGGAGGAGCACAGCCCCAGCACGGACCAGGCAGCTCTGTGTGCTACCCTGCCTCTGGGGAGGAGTGGGGAAAAGAGGGACTGAAATTCTCATGGGCTCTTCCTCTTCAAGCAAAATCTGCAGCCATGTAATTTCCTGATCCCCAGCTGGTGTTTGGGAATTACCACGGAGCAGAAGCTGCTCAGTGCTCCCAGCTGACTCAGTAGTAAAGCATGAGAAGCAGGACACAGAGGTTTAGGGCTGGAGCTGGTGCAGAGACTAACCCTAGAACATCAGAGGACACAGACAGTCCCCACCAAACAGCACCTAACACAAAATGTCATTTCTGTCACTACTTATGCCTGCTTCAGCAAGGCCCACGCTGCCACATGAGCTGGGTTTAAGCTCCAGCACGAGGCACAAAACCAAAACAGCAGCGAAATTCTACAACCAGCACCAAACTGCTGGGGGAAAGGGTTCAGAGCACTCCTGGAGATAAGTATGTATTAAAACAAACAATAAATTGCTTATCTTTTCTTCCTCCCCTCGCAGGGCAATCAGGTGCTGGGCACAGTGAGATGTGGGGCAGGACCCAGTCGAGTCCCTCCCGTTTCTCACAGGTGTCCCCTGCCACCAGCACATA